CTAGGCGTCGGATACCATGTTAAAATGAGAGAAGTGAACGAGAATGTGTGAAACTAGGCAGCAGGGTGATACAAGTAGGAAACCCTAGAAATGTTGTACCCCCTAAGGCTAAACCCACTATAGCCTACACAATAGGAACATGTATAATGTTTGACACCACCTGGTTGACAGCTGGAGCGTGCACAGGCCGCCAGCTCAGCAGCTGCTTCAACCTCGTCACCGACCAATTGGATACGCCGATGGAGCGCACTAGGCCTTGCTCCACTGCTGCCTCCATCTACTGCCACGTGGCAGCCACCTGCCACGTCAGCACCCTGTCCTCCCTCCTAGGGGGAGAGTGCCAAGGCTTTGCCATTTGCACTGGTACATGAAGCTGAGAGGAGGAAAGGGTTCGGAAGGAGGAAACAAACAGGGGTGTTTGGAAGGAAGGGAAAACGGAGCTGGGGGAAAAATGTTGGGCTTGTGTCGACAAATTCGAGATATGAGAGACTTACCAGAAAGAGGTCCAGATAGGAAAGGCGGAGGTCCTGAAGAGTTTTTTGCAGTGCAGGGAGAACGTCAGGAGGGGAGAATTCTGCAGGCCTGAATGACAAGGGAAGGAAGAGGTTAAGAGACGTGGAAAGAAGTGATGTAGAAGGAACGGTGGAGCTGTCAGGATTGACCTAGGGAAGCAGTGCTAGAGAAAGGTGATCATTGAGGAAAAATATAAAAAAAAGCCAGATTAACTGAAATTAGAGGTTACCAGAGCTTTGAGGTTACGAATAGGTATTCGCGGGCGATTCCCATCCTTGCCACGCCATCCTCCAATGCTCTCCCAATCTGCTGACATGGCATGACATGGAAGCCACGTCAGCACAGGTTCACGTGGCATTTAGTGGCTGCTGAAAGCCTGAACAATAATGAAATGACTATATGCTGTAACAAGGAAAGCATGCACCCTAGGCTTCTTCCTGTATAATGAAGAGCGTACCTCAGGTTGGTTGTTGTACTTTGGAGAGCAGTCAAAGTGACGATAGCCAGCCTGACGATAACACGGAGATGAGGTGTAGCAAGAAAGAATGACTGAAGAAGCAAGATGGTTTCGTTTCTTGTTTTTTATTTTGTTGAGCGGGTTTTGAAAACGAAAATGCCCAACCTTACCTCCAGAGCAGCCGACACAGCCACGTCAGCATCTTCAGGTGCCATCTTCCGCGTCCCCAATCCCACTGCCGGGATCTCATCCCCGGTACATCGCGAAAGTGCAAGGCTCGAAAAGCTGCGGAAAAGCAACTATAAAGTTGCTTTTCCGCAACAAGGTGTCCGCAAGGATGAAGTCTAGGTCAAAAGCTAGTGGGGCAGGGTTACAAGCAGAGTGACTGCTCCGCAGCTTTCCCGCAGCTTTGCCGCAAATGTGCACGCAACCTGAAGGCAACCACGATGGTGATATCATTGTCACGATATTGCCACAGCGGGCAGTCACTTCGCCACGTCATCCTGCAAATCACACGTGGACTTCCGGTTTATGCCAGGTGTATGCGAATCTCCCACGAATACTATCATGACGTCTGTCGGAGCTAGATTGCAACACCTGTACGGCCGAGATTCCCCCTTGGACATAAAGGCGCACCGTTGGTTACGCGACAAATGCCATTTCGGTATTGGAGGCCGATGAAACCCCAGAGCACCGCGTTCGCACACCTGGCCAAACTGCACTGGGCCACATTGCAAACTCAACTACAGCGGACAGCTCAGATGCAAACACGTTGGCCTAATCATCGTTCCCGATTTGCCATTGCATGCCACAACAAAAGCATCTAGTGGACATAACATTGCCAGCCAGGCAAGAAGGGATGCGCGTGATCAGACGTGCATGCGCCTATCTAATTGACGCCGTCGGATCAGACTGTACGGCATGCCAACACGGATTACCTGGACCTCTCGATGAGACACATGTAACAATCACCACTCGGTAGGTTTCTTATCCAGCGGCATCGGCGACGTCCATGTGGCAACAATCCAGTAGACGATAATATATTAAAATCTGCGACGGCCTAGTAACAACCGTCCACGTGGCCAATTTCAACAATCACGATATGCCACTACGCGCCACGGCAAACGTAGCAATCGTACCAGATGCGGTCGACCGCATAAAACGCCGCACAGCGCGCCGCGAAAATCGGGGATACCACATTATGGTGGTCACCCGTTGCATTCCTCTACAAAATACTATATGGCCATTGTACGTACTGTGTAGTGTACTGAATTGATTATGCAACAACCTGACACAAATGCAACAGCCATAATTCGTTGTTTAGCCCCAAATTCCCATATCACAAAGCGCTATCCCAAACATATGCTCGTCCTACGTATAGTGCACTACCAATATTGAAAAACCATTGGCGAACAATCATGCATCAGAGTCACTATCAGAGGAGATTGCATCTGAATCTTCACGCCCCTCGTCACCCTCTTCGCCGTCTTCAAACAATGACTCCAGCCCGGATGAAGATAGACGGAGACCATGATAGCCCCACCTCCAGGACTTTGTCTCCGCGTCGTAGTCCAGGTCATGGCTGCAAAATGCATCTGCCACGGCATCGAACGCCAGCATCTGGATCCGCTTTACTGATGTGCCGTTCTCGCACGGAGAGTTGTGAAGCTTCCCCTTGCGTGTCTCCCAATTGACGATGGCGTCGGATATCTGCGATGGCACCACGATGAACTCCCAGATTAACAGATGAGAGGTTGTAATATAAGAGTCATATAAAGCGTGTACGCTCACCACGTGCTCGAGCCACGCCATGTGGTAAAGCTTCACTGTTGTTGCTTCCGCTTCGCATTTCCCACCGAACGCCGAAATGGCGCATGCAGAGAAGGCACCTGGCACGAAGGGCAGTCCGTCCCTGTTGAAGTGCCAATTGCACAACGCCTCCTTCCCTGCGCGAGCAACGAATACCAATAACGGATAGACAGGGAGTCGAGGAACGGGAGAGAAGGGGGGGGGGGGGAAAGGGGGTTATGGATGGGCTAGGCCTCCTGTTACGTTCACTCACAGGAGCAGCCGATGGCACAGCAATTAACGGGGTTTGTCGTGGTACACGCACCCTCGTCTTCATTAGGGGGGCCATATCACTTGCGAACCTTCTCCGCAGAACGTGCCTTTCTGCGTGCCCATGGACTAGCTTTGTCCTCTTCGTCACGGAACAGGCCAAGGCGAGGGAGAGCGATGTCGCGTGCTCGCCCGGCCACCCCGGTTTTGAATTCGGACAGCGTCTTGTTGAGGTCTCCGCGTCGTCCCTTATCAGCGTCTAAGGCAAGAGTAGCCATTTTCGGCGGTATCTTGGACACTACATGGCAGAGGCCGGCTGCCTTGTCATCGCGGCTCGGATAAAAATCCATGCTCTCATTAGGGCCATCTAAAAACAGATGGTCCTTTACCATGTCGCAGATACCCTGTGACACGCACACAACGAGATTGGGCCATAAGATACAATGTGAAAGTCCATCATAGATAACATGCACCACCGCGTGTCAGAACAATAAGTGTCCGTGCAATATACCCACTTTCCATGCCTTTTCGCCGGTAACATATTCAGAGCTTCTTGGACCATTGGCGACATGTCCGCACTCCGGTGTCTCGCCGCCTTCGGGGCCGGCTCGTCCTCATCGCACGTTGAGGCATCATCCGAAATCGGCGGGCGTTTGCGCTTTGACGAATCCCTTCCGATGGAGACTGAGCCACGAGCCTGCGTCCTCTTGCGCTTGTGGGCCTCGGCAAGGGCAACAACAGCAAGCATGTGGGACTCCAGCCGAGCCATGCCCTTGGTGGTTTCAGCCTAGGAGTCGCGCAATGCTTCAAACTCGCCTCTGGTTACATGGTCGCTCATTGATTGTCGCCGCTTCTGCGCCGCGGCCACTTCGGGGGCGTGTGCATCCGCTTCACCGCTGTCCCCAAGAGGGTCGTTGCTGGACGACTCGCCACCCGCGTTCCCCTCCTCATTGTCGTTTTCCTCGCCTTGCAAAAGCGCGTCTATTAGGCGTTCTTTTTGTGCCTCAGTGTCAGCCTCCTCCGCTTCTGCATTTTCCGCGATAGGCGTGCCCAATGCCTCTGCGACGCCAACCGCGACCTCCCCGGCGCTTTGTATGCGCAACGTATCTTCTTGTGTCGCTGTGAGGAAGGGAGGGGTCGGAGTACACATCGGTTACATTCACGTGCCATGCCCTACCCCTACGACAAAATGAGGGCGGAAACGAAAGGGAATGTATTTGTTCGGGTTTAGTAAACAATCACCGGCACTGTTGTCCGCAGTTTTCCCTTTTTGGCGAATTGTCTCCGAGTCCAATTTCCGCCTCTTGATAGGATGTCCACGTCCACCTTTCTTCTTACTCTGCGACCATTGGTACGAAGACGCTAGCCACCCCGGTGCCTTGGTCGTGCGAACAGAACGTCCTTCGGGAACTGCGCTCATAGTGCCTGCATGCTGCACCAGCTTGTCTTGCTAGAGTTTGTAGAGTTATGCTTGTGTCATTATAGGCATATCGGTGAGTGTGCACTCCACTAATGATCCCTTCGGCATCGCTGGCGGTGAGGGGTTCTGGCTCACCTCTGTATTTGCTGTTGTTTACTGGCCACGCGTCCATATATCCACATGTCATGATTCGAGTGGCCAGAAGGATTACGCGACCACTTCAACCACACGCGGTCCATGTACACGGTACCCAGGTCAGCCTGATCTTGTACATGAAAGAACGCGTTTTTAGAGGGTAACAAACAGTATCATGCAATACAAATGTACACGTTCCTCGTGGACTTTTACAGCCGTACATGAATGTACTCTACAAATATGTACTTTACATGAAAGACAAAATTTGATTGTACTCTAAATTTGAAACTAATATGTCCACAAAAGGATGACCAATACGGACATGTTTCCATTGCCCCCAACGTCCCACTAAAACCAGCTTCACTGCCCTCTTTTTGCCCCAATTTTGAGAGCATGCTCCATTTCCGCCAAAGTCCCCTAGTCATCCTCCTCGTCCTCCTCATCCTCCATGACCTCATGCACGGCCACATACTCTTCATCCTCCTCTTCGGTCTCGTCATCATCCGAGTAGTCCTGCGGGGGGCTTTCAGGCTCGTCAGCCATGGCCTGCTCTTCAATATTCTGTGTGGCCGCGTCCACCTCCTCTACCTCCTGTACGTCTCGTGACACTGTGCCCTTGCGTCTGGAACGAGCCCCCGCAGCCGGTGGTTCTTCCAAGCCCTCCAGTGCAGCCCTCCACTCCCTCCATCTGTTCCATCGCCTAAACTTCACCAGCAGCCTGAGGTTATCCTCGGTGCACCCTTCCAGCGCTTGCCTCTCTCCCTCAGAGAGTTCCACGGTGCAGCTAATCCTCGAGTTCGGCCGAAGGACCACAGCCCCCGCCGCATATGCGTATGCAGCCTCGTCCGGGTCCTCGTACGACCCAAGACGCACCTGCTTTCTCTGTCCTGATATTATACGAACATAGAACCTCTGCTTCTCAGCGTTCCACATCACGCCCGTTCGACCACTGCTCGATGCCCTGCCAGGGTTTCCGGGAACTGGATGCACGTGGGTCATACCCTGGCCACGCACCGCGAGGGCAAGAGTGCCACGCTCTTGCGGACGGATTGGCGCAGGAGTTGTCTGATGGGCGGGGACGAGGCCATCTCTAGGTCCTGGAGTGCGAGGTGCCGACTGTCAGAACTAGCAGTAGAAAGTAAGAATGAAGAAAGGAGGGGTTTCACTAGCAAGCAGTTGAGTACATATAGGAAACCCTAGATTGGGTTGTACTCGCTATAGAGCACCCCACTGCAGGCTAGACAAATACAACATTCTGACACACCCCCATAGTCAAAGTGGGGTGTAATCAGCACAATGAGCAGGTATAGCAGGAGTTCACAATAAGAAGCAAAGCTAGAGGAATTCACAGCGGGCAAGTGAGGAGGAGGAGGGACTGTGAGAGGAGAGAAGATGAGAGACGGCGGCTGAAGCTGCAGACACACGGGCAACAGGAGCTGCTGGCACAGTGGCTACCGGGACAGTGCGCCCCGGACTACTGGAGTAACTGGCTCACGGGCTACGACGAGCTACAGGAGCAACGGACCCTCGGGCGACAGGCGCAGCAGACTCTCTGGGCTACCAGGACAGTGCGCCCCGGACTACAGGTGCTGCGGACGACAAGACAGCAGCCTCCGCTCAACCTCCTCCAACTGTCCCACACACCCCCCACACACCCACTGCTTCACTCCTAACTCCACTTGCACGTCACCCCCCTAGTACCACTCCTTCGGCTCCCACACACCCACCCCCCTCAGCGGCAGCTGCAGCACTGGGAGACGGAGGAGGAGGAGGAGCAGGGGACAACGCACAGAAACTGCACCCCCATACCCCCCACCCCCAAACCCTAATTCAGGAGAACGGGCAGCAGCAGGGGTGGGGCGCCGTCAGAAGCACGGGGGACAGCGGGCAGCGCAGGGGCAGAGAAAACAGGGCGCCCACGGGCCTGGCGCAGCCCGTACGAACCGCGTGCGGGCGGCCCGAGGCGCGCCCTGGCCTGGCGCAGCCCGTACGGGCCGCGCGCGGGCCTGGCGCTGCCCGTACGGGCCGCGCGCGGGCCTGGCGCAGCCCGTACGGGCCGCGTACGGGCCTGGCGCAGCCTAAGGGCCTCGCGCAGGCTGTACGGGCCGCGCGCGGGCCCTATGCAGGTCGCGCAGGCCGCGACGGGCGACGGGGGGCGACGCGCGGGTCCCCGTCGCCCGTCGCAGCGCCTCCCGGGAGCGACGCGCGGAGTGACGGGGCAGAAAGCCGCCGCGCGCCTCGGGGCGCACGGCGGGCAGAAAACCGCCGCGCGCCTCGGGGCGCACGGCGGGCAGAAAACCGCCGCACACTCCGAGCGCGCGGCGGGATGAAAAATCCGTCGCACGCCACGGGGCGTGCAACACACAGAGTAGCAGTAGCAGCGGAAGCAGTGAGGTGGTGGGCCCACCCACAGGATCGACCCAAGGGGATCGACCTGCTCTGATAGCATGTCAGAACTAGCAGTAGAAAGTAAGAATGAAGAAAAGAGGGGTTTCACTAGCAAGCAGTTGAGTACATATAGGAAACCCTAGATTGGGTTGTACTCGCTATAGAGCACCCCACTGCAGGCTAGACAAATACAACATTCTGACACCGACGACTTTGAGATTGCACGTACACCCGCCAGTGAACGCGTTATGGACGTACGAGCGCAGTCCACCTGGCCGACATGGTCTGCCGTCTCCTCCACTTTCGCAGCCTTGCGAGAAGCCACCTGTGGCCCCGTGGTGTCGTTTACTGCCCCCATGTGGTCTCGCGCTCCGGCCTCCAGTTCAGCTGAGGTGACGCCCTTGCTGATGGCGAGGAACTCAATCTTAGCCGTCATGATAAGGAAGTCGTGCTCGAGAACAGCGACCTTCCCCTTCACTTCGAGCAACTCGCGCCGCTGATCAACAGGAGGGTCAACGCACATATAGCCGTCGTCATCAATCACCGGAACAGGCTGCAGCGGGATGCGCAGGCCCTGCCGCTGGAGTGCGGGGATCAGCGTGCCGGCAGCATGCGCACACAGGCCCGAACGCATATGGTGTCTGTACTTTACCGCGCTCACACCCTTGAACGATATGTACTCGGCCACCGTCGCGAAGCCAGATGTCACAAGTGCTTCTAGATACTGACAGGTGTACACACCACAATCCCAGCTGTTGGGCTGCTTGGGAATCTGATGGGCCTGCAAAACAGAAGGGGGCAATGGTCGTAATCGTTAAGAATCGCACCAGGGCCTAGACTAGGCCTGGCCAGCTGCGTGAAGATAACACATCCCTTACCTCCATGATCTTGCAGCCCGCGTTGATGAGCGCCTGCCTTGATATTTCCGGGTCCACCTCCGGATGATCGCGTACGCACAAGAGATGCAGTAACCTGCACGCAAGCGTGCCGGTGGTTCATATGCGGGCACTTATGTGATCACGAAAGCATCACATCAGAGATTTGATGGCAATCTCACGCTTTGGTTTCGTCGAATGCATCTGTGGTCTTCGCGTGAAGGCCGTCGCTGTCGAAGAGAACGAGCTTTGCCTGTGCCGATACCGCCTCGGATGTTGGTGGGTTGATTATTGCGCCCGGATTGACAACCACCATCAAGGAGTAATGTTCACTGCACGTTCCCACAAAACACGTGAGAGGCTAGTTTCGCAGAGACAACTATGCACGGCTATTCTACATACATATATGGAAAACACCGGGACGGCGAGGTAGTCGAACTCGAAAACGGAAGGGCCGCTGCATCGCCCGATCGGTTATTTTTTATCCTTTGCATACGCATACGCCTTGCTGTCGAGAACCGCCCATGTCTTCCCGTTAGGGCACCTCGGGTATCTGATGTTCAGCAGGCTGCGTGGATTGCGGGAACATGAAATGAACAAGACGGGAGCTGTTATAGCGGCAACCGTGCGATCGATAGCGGTTACGGTTGAAACTGCCAATGACTCACATGTTATGGAAATCCATCACCGCGTCTCTGAGATATTTCTTGTCCGCGATCGAAACCGCGTCGGACGGGGTCACCTGACAGCCAACTCCCATGTGGTTATACAGCGAGACAGTCTTGAATGTCGAAGAAACCGGTGTGGTCAACAGCGCTGTGATCGCGTCGTCCAGTGCCGGGTCTTCTTCATCGCCTATCAGCCGCGACCCCCATGCGGAAACAGGCTTCGTCACGGCCTTGAGTTTGGCGGATGCTTCATGAGCCACGTCGCACGAGCGCAACCGTTTCGCGCTAAGCGTTTCGGGGATCGTCGTATTTTCACGCTTCACGGGATACAGAGTCCTACGCGTCGCCGTGCCACTGGCTTCGGGCTTTCGCTGCCCACGCATCGCGGCCTGTGCTTTAGTTTTCGGGGCCATGGCTATTAGGATGTGGTAGAAGAGAGGGGTAACGACTAGCAAGCGAAAGTGAAGATAGTAGAGGTTGTCTGATAGATTTGGTTAAATGCCGATGGCTGTGTTAGGGTTCCCATCAGAAATTTGCCGAATCCTATGGCGGGAAATTTCTAGAAGGTGGATACCACCATGGCGCTTCGTGATTGGAATCTCGGTACGCGGGTAACCGACAGATGTTCATTGTGCGCGCCAAATTGTCGGAGACCAACACGTGTAATCGAGCATGGAAAACCATCCATTGTGACCATGCATTCGATCCGATGTTGACAGTTGAGAACACTGTTTAAAATTGTACCGCTATGGGAAATGTGAAATGTATGCTGCACTTAACTGACCACCAGGAAATCCGATGTACGGAGCCTCGAGATCAGGGAAACACTTTCGGTACTATAGCGGAATGCTGAAACATAAAAAAACGGGGACAGTCTCAAATCCTATCGTGTACAGCATTGGCCGAATAAACATGTGGTCACGTCAGCCGGTGACGTTGCGCACCTATAATAGGGCCACAAGTGAATCCGCAATCCAGCCATGTTTCAGCCAGGCGAGGTCCGTTAGCGCTTAGAATCGGAAAGACGCTTGCCTCCACATACCTCGAAAACCTGGATGATGCACCAAACTCACCTTCCCTGTATTACAAAGGATAGTGTTGAAATGGCCACTAGGACCCATCCATGGCGTCACTGAAGGAGCTCCTGTCGCGTCTGGCCGCTCCACCAAGCGACGTCTACTGCTTCGTCGAGGTTACTCTGTACCCAGGACTGCAGCAGTATGTGCACCCCTTCGGCGAGCGTCAAGGTCATGAACTGAAGAGGCTATCTATCGGCCTTCTCTACTCCGCGGACGGCTCGCACCGCTTCAAGCCCATTGTCGTGAGCAGGGATCGGGAGCCATTACGGCTGGGCTCCGATGTGCAGGGCGACGAGTGGGCGTACCTTCGCCGTACTCGCACCGGTCGCATAACACCTGAGGTAATTCTATAGCTGTGGTTAGTAGTCCTGTCGAAACAATCTTCTATTTCTGAACAGTGTCTCTATAAGTCCTCGTGCTGTTGGTCTACGCTACACATAGCGGTGTACTCTGCCAAATGTCATAACCATATGTCTCCGTGCCTGTAGTAAACGCATCACGCAGCTGTGCATTGTGTCAATTGTACCGTACATATGTCTCAGTCTTTCTTGCCCACGCTACACGCAGCTGTTTTCGGAATTCATGGTTGGCCTTAACGCAACAAAGTTTGGTGAAGACCACAAAATCATAATCCTGGTATCGTCGCGGAGGCATCACCTCACCTGGGGAGAAGGAAAGCGTGAAACATATGGCCCTTTCAAGATGCACCTGTTAACCCATACGCGGATCGTGCAACTCTCCGACACCGTACCAGTCATGGGGAACCCGCTGCTGCAGGGGATCGTCGCATTCTTCAGGACCGAGTTCCGCACAATGTGGGTGGACTACCAGACGCAGGGCATGTCTCCAGTACTTCCCGCGTCGATGTGGCACCGTCACACCCCATCGGCTGCCAAAACTCTGCAGTGGACATATGAGTCTTTGTGGGGTGTGGCGACTTCGCATATTCAGCTCACGTTTTGGCGAATGGGGTGCGTCCCGGACGCTTGGCTCTCTCAGCTACACGCTATCAACTGCGAAATGCACGTCGAGATCGTTGAGCAGCTCGTGGCAAGCCTCTTGGGCTTGCAGCGGAAGCTCGACCAGTTGGACAATCCCGACTCCGTCCTGGAAGCAGTGGAGTACGCGACCTGGGATGACGAAGTGGACGAACTTACGGCCGCGGCCGCTCAAGAGCCAGATGGCCGCAGCGTTGGTGACGCTCTCAGTGTCGGCCCCGTCTCATGGGACGAGAGGACTCGTCGCAGGGTACTGCGTATGGCCTCCGATGCGTACACAAGGCTCGCAAACGCGAAGGGCGTGTCTCCTCGTGACGTGCACACCTTCAGGCGGATGGGTAACGCGGACCTAGTCGACCGCCTTGGGCGCACCCCTGAGAAGAAGGCTCGTAAACTCTCTCCAGAACCGTCGTCGAGCAACTCTACCACAGCAACCGAAGAGTTGTGCTTCCAGTCGCCGAGAGCATCTATGTGTAGCGTTAATGATGAAATTGGCTATGGGATGTAGGCGCTTTTATTTTGGCGGTGTTTGAACAAGTAGTTGGTGCTGTTCTAATTATTTTGCGCGGGCGTGAGGGTTTTACCCTGTTATGTAATATATTTGCAACATTTCTGACATGGCGCCCAGAACATATCATGGAACGGCTCGGACCATAAACGACTCCGGTTGTATTCAACAAAAATCGACTGTCGTTCCGCTGTAACTGTTGTACAAATGTTATCCTGCGAATTAAACGAAATCTGTAACCACACACATTGTGCTAACCCGGGCCCATAGATAGCAGCTCTTTGGCAGCCGGTGATGGCCATATCCGCAAGCTCTGACCGACTTTTGCATCACAAGCAAACCCTAGCCGCGGAGAGTTAACTACCATCAGTAGTGCGCTGAGCGACTTGCTTATCCCGATGAGTACCAAATCTACCCCCTCGCGACATGTACTCGCCCCACGTAGACGTAATACAAAGGCCTATTTCATCCGTAGAAATCCCACCATCGCGTATGCTAATATGCAGGTTTACGGGGCCATATTTTATCAGAGAGGTGAGGCTCCCAACACTGCGATAATATTGAGGTCGCTGGAACCATTCTTGGGAAGCGGACGGCGCAGCTCTCGTCAGCACCGTGCGCGGGCCACTATGGAAGCGCGTCATTCGCTGGCCATCGGTGCAGATGCCCCTGTACCAGTCGTTTGTAGGAGGCTTATCTCTGCAACGTATCCAGATTCATCGGAGCCGATTTTGGCACGAGCGGAAAGTCGGCGTTTTATGAAGGATATCGAGGATTACAGACTCGTCAACCACAACGCTAATGGCCTTGACGATATATTGTTGCCGGAAGTACCATCATTTGACTACAGAGCCGTATTGATGGCGGAAGCTCATGCTCTGGGGTACAAGGTGGGAGATCTCGTCTAGATAGATTTCCGCGCCCACAGACGTGATATAGCAGGGTGTGTGGTGTCTTGCTATTCAGAAGGAGAGGCGGCGCCCAGATGGATCGCGGCTCCTTGAGAAGCCACCAAAAGAGGTGGCCACGGGATGTGCCAGGACTGTCGGGGTAATGAGCCTGTTGATTGCGAATTATGCCTGCTAGTTACGCGCTAATATATTGATGCAATGCCTTTTTCAGGTTGATGTGTACCCTGTGCAGAAGAAGTTGCCGGACGGAGTGCGCATCAGGGATATAACTAGGGCTCTCGGAATGATTCTCTGGTGGACCAAGGCATCTACAAACCCCACAAAGATGCCGTGCGTGCATAGCTCTGCAAACACTCTCCCAAGCAGTGGCCATAGTCGCCTTGTTAAGGCTCCGCCCATTAGAGTATTTGCCGGTCGTTGATAGTGCAGTAGTCTGGTAGGTTAGGGGCTTCACTGATGAAAATGGTGCTACGATGTCGTGCTCATTGACCAACTTATTTGTTACATCTAGTTAAATGTGCACACCATCTTCCTGATGGTGTTGCACGAAGTGTGCTGATGGTGTTATGAACAACTCTAATATGGCAATTGGAGT